GGCTCCTGGCCTGCCCCAGGACACCCCAGCCCTGCCGCCGTGTCCCTCAGAGCCTTGTCCAGACGCTCCGTGTCACGCTCAGGTGCCAGCTCACGCTTCTTGCAGTGATAATATTGTTGGTACACACCAGGAGTCGGTTATAGAATTGTAACCGGGAACTGAACCTGCAATACAAATTTAAAATATTTTAAAAGCATGAGCTCCTGCAACTAGAAGTAACAAGAAACTGCCAAAGGAACAAGAGAGGCACGTCATGCTTTGAGATGTGAGAGATGGAAGATGCAAAATAATTAAATGTGTGCATACATACATTGGTTCTTTACTCAATAGTCTTCCTAGTTTTGCCAAACTTTAAAAGCATGAAATTGCTGGTTTATATTGATAAGGACCTGTATTTTTTTAAAAAAGAAAATGAATGACTTAAAAAGACTGAATCTGAACTTAGGGACTTTCAGTTTTGCTGGTAGCACAGCTGTTCGGTTGGAGAAAACACAGTTAAGAAAAATAATGACTCTTGACTAATCTGTCCTTGTAAATTGAAGCTTGGAACAGGTATGTCCATCAAAAGACAAGTCTTATTTCTGAGGTTCTAGTATATACATTTTGTAGCTTTTCCAGGAGTTACCTCTTGATACAGGAGAGTGAAAGGATCCATGTGCTGCTCATTGTAGGGAGCATTTCTACAAAGAAAATTGTCTTTACATGCAGTAATTTTATATTCAGTACTTGTATCCATAAAGCATTATATTTAAGTGCAATAGTCCTTCATGTTAAATTGTGGTGTTCTCATGTAACAGGAAAACTCCTCCTTAACCTGATGGACCACACAGAAGTTGTCAGAGATTTAACCTTTGCCCCTGATGGCAGCCTGATTCTTGTGTCTGCATCCAGAGACAAAACCCTGCGAGTGTGGGACCTGAAAGATGATGGTAATGTCTGGACTTTATCTGCTCCAGTACCTGAGAAAAGCACCCATGTACTCACCTCTTTTATTGCTCTAGACTCAGTTTAGTCAGGATTGCTTAAAAACTTCGTGTTCAGTTAGTCACTCACTGTGCACTTGGAATTCTTTAGTCACTCGCTCTGCAGCCCCTTGGAATTCCTTATCTGTCTGAAGCCTGGAGGCAGAAGAAGGTTTTGGCTAAGAGTGCATGACGTGACCTTTCTGAATAGGGACATGGAAGTAAAGGCTGCATCCCAGGGGTTTTATTTCTGTGTAGAATGACTCTGCAAGAAGTTTGGGAAAATAATACAAAATTTTGCAAAGAAATAACTAACTTGTAAAAGATTTCCCATCTGAGTTTTGTAATTAACCAATCCTTACAGCAATGCCTTTCTGTTTAGGAAACATGATGAAGGTGCTGAGAGGCCATCCGAACTGGGTGTATGGCTGTGCATTCTCTCCAGACTCCTCCATCCTCTGTTCTGTTGGAGCTAGTAAAGCAGTATGTGTCCGAGTTTCTTGTTCCTTAATTCTCCTGAATTGTGTGCATAATCATTTTAAATCTAAGTAACATTAAGCTTGTGCTCGGTGTCATGAACTTCTAATGTTTGATGATGATGTGAAAGTGCATGAAATTAAACTGGCAAATGGTGCATTGAGACCCTGATTTGTGAATGGAACTTGCACTGCTTTTAGTTGAGGAGGCTGTAAGTGTGGAGAAATAGGTCTGCACAGGGTCATGGTATAAAACAAAGACCACTAAAGCTGCCAGTGTTAAAAGATACTTAGATTAATGCATAAAACTATTTCGGTTTTGATTTTGTCCTTCTATTTCGTGCTCAATGAGAAAGACTTCCCAAAGTTGTAGCCAGTCAGGGCATCTCCTGCTGAACAAAAACATTTCTCTCCTACCAATGGCAGTAGTACCTGAGAGTTAGAGGGAAGAGGAGCACACTGGTTTTGCTTTCATCCTAATGCCCTGCTAGAGAACTGAAAGCAGTGCAGGTAGTGCATGTATGCCATAAGCTCCTCCTGGCACTGAAGAGTTAGGGCAGACCAGAAAGGGAGTTCAGCCTGGTTCCAAGGGCTCTGTAGGCAGTGTGGTGCAGCCTCAGAGGCCCAGCTGAGGCCCTGGCCATCACTCCTGTGGGAGTGCTCAGAGGCATTGTCCACAGCGGTGAGCACAGCCGAGCTCTGGGGTTTGGCTCTAGTGGAGCAGAGGGGGATGTGTACATTGCTGTCTGGAGGCTGTGTGTTTTCCATAAGCTTCTTGCTTTCCCTGTCACAGGTGGTGGCAGCAATATTGGTGTGATTGAGTTAAGCTGGCACCACTCTGAGGAGCACAGTGGTGTTGGCGGGCAGAGAGTGGCAGCTCTGGCCGCCAGCCCGGCGAGCTGTACCGTCTGTACCGTAGGACGAAGTAACCTTGCCCTCGGCTGCAAGGGGTCCTGTACGTACGCAGGTGCTGCTCCATGTCCACTGTCTGCTTGCTTGCTTGCTTTTTTTTTGTTGTTGTTTTTTTTTTTTTTTAATAATTTTCACAGCAGTGAAACACGCTGACTCCTCAAACTTAGTTTCCAGTTTCATAGAACGTTGGGGTCTCCTTGGAAAAATTAGTGAACTATTAGTGTTTATAACTGATTGTAAAATGGTTCAGAGTTAGGCGGTATGGGAGGCACTAAGGCTGAGTTTGTTTTGGTCAAACATAAATTTGTCCAAGTTGTCAGAATTTAACCTGTGCAGTAAAACTGTCAAGGGTAAAATCAAGGCCGCTAGTGAGCTCTTTGAGGGACATAATAGCCTTTGCTAAAGACTTATATTCCTGTAAAACCATGCTGCAGTGCATGGATAGTTCCTATTAAGTCATTCTGCACAGTCCTTGTTTTGATAATATCTAATATACAACTGCATGTAAAATACTGTAATATTTCATGAATTTTTACAATACACTGTGCAATTAGTTGGGTAAATTGTAATATTAATGTTGTTTGTTACTGTTGACTTGATTTTAAATGACTAAATTCTTTCTAATAATGTGGTTAGACTTCCCTGTTGTTTTGCCACAGACATAACTTTTGGCTGTGAAAATTCTTTTTGCTTGCAGTATCTGTTTCTCTTCCTAGGCTGACGTTGGTGATCCAAGCAATTGTAAACAAGTGATCTTAAACTCAAAGGGATGCCACTGGAGTAACAATATGTTAACCTTACATTTTCTGTCTGTATATTTCTTAAAATTTTGGTAGTTACTGAAAAGAGGGGACTGTAGAGTTTAACCCTATTTATTTCTGAATATTTTAATAAAATAGTTTTGTAATATATGAATTTCAGTAAGCTACATGGTTAAACTGTGTTGCCTTTATCTTATATTTTGGCTTATTTTGTTAATAACATTTAACAAATTTGAGTTAGAACTTGCATGTCTGCTTTAATTATTTTTTAAAAAACCTTGATTTTAATCTGAATATGACACTGAGCATATTTCTTAATTGTAGTAATTCATAATACCTGATTTTAGTGTAATCCTAAATAAGACTAGCTCTACTTAAAAAAACAAATTAAATGCTTCACTGCCTCTCTGAGCAGAGCTATAACATCAGCTGATTTAATTGCAGGTTTTCCTCTGGGATATGGATAAATACTCCATGCTACGGAAACTGGAAGGCCATCACAATGATGTTGTAGCTTGTGAGTTCTCTCCTGACGGAGCGTTACTGGCTACTGCATCTTACGATACTCGAGTCTATCTCTGGGATCCACATATTGGAGTGATCCTTAGGGAATTTGGGTAAGTAAAGCGCTCAGATCTGGGAACTGTCTCCCAGAGTGGGCTTGGAAATGAGCAGTGGCTGATGGAAGTGGTAAAGTGGCAGAGGCTAGAGGTTGCTCTTCCATCTGAGAGTGCATTTACAGCACTGGTATTTGAGGGTTTGAATTACACTGAAGAGCACGCGGCAGTTCAGTCCCCACTGAATCCGCAGCGAAGCGATCCAGCGCTGTTTGTTTGTGAGTGCTGAGCTCTGCTGTCCTGTCCCTGAGCGTGTGTCTGTCCGTCTGTCCGCAGGCA